GCGGCGCCGCTCTGCGCGCGCGCGCCCGCGCCCCGCCGCCGCCCTCTCGGCGCGGCGAGGGGGGAGGCGTTGCACGGTCGGCCACGCGCAGAGGGGGGCAGGGGGCGGGGGGACCTAGGGGAACGAAAAATGGCATAAACATAAAAACTCGGAGGTCCGCGCGGATTTCTCGGATCCGCGCTGGACAGCGCGCCAGAGGCTGCGCCGGAGGCGCCGCCGGGGGGCTCCAGCACCGATCCGAGAAATCTGCGCGGACCTCAGAGTTTTTACGTTTATGTCATTGTTTGTTTCCCACATCCTAAGTGGGGTTCTTGTTTTCTCTGCACACCCTCCGCGCAGGATCTCTCGTCCTCCTCCCTCTCCTCTGCTCCTCTTTGCTTCCTCCTCCGCATCATCATCACCATCACCATCACTCCATCATCATCATCATCATCACCATCAGCATCACCATCACCATCGCACGATCACTCACCATCATCGGCATCGAACGATCATCATCATCATCATCATCATCATCATCATCATCATCATCATCATCATCTACTCGCTGACTCACCACTTCGTCCCCATCATCATCACCACCATTTACCATCAGAATCGCACGATCACTCACCATCAGCACTCATCATCACCACCATCATCATCATCACGTCGTCATCATCACCACCACCACCATCATCATCATCATCATCATCATCATCATCATCATCATCATCATCATCATCATCATCATCATCATCATCCTCATCATCATCATCATCATCATCATCATCATCATCATCATCATCATCAATCATCAATCATCAATCATATATCATCATCAAACACCGTCGTCATCATCCCATCACCATCATCCACCAAGAGGGAGCCTCGTCTGTGAGTGAATTGTGAGGAAGTCTCAGGCGGGAGCCCCCTCCCTATGGCGCCCACAGATCATGTTACTAATCCGAGCGGGTCATCGGATTCTTGTAATTGTCGTCATTTTTGGGCTCCTCAGGTTTGAATTTGGAGGAAGCATCAGGCGGGAGCCTCGTTTGTCAGTGAATTGCGAGCAAGTCTCAGGCGGGAGCCCCCTCCCTATGGCGCCCGCAGATCATGTTACTAATCCAAGCGGGTCATCGGATTCTTGTAACTGTCGTCACATCTGGGCTCCTCAGGTCTGAATTTGGAGGAAGTATCAGGCGGGAGCCTCGTTTGTCAGTGAATTGCGAGCAAGTCTCAGGCGGGAGCCCCCTCCCTATGGGGCCCGCAGATCATATTATTAATCCAAGCGGGTCATCGGATTCCTGTAACTGTCGTCACTTTTGGGCTCCTCAGGTCTGAATTTGGAAGAAGTATCAAGCGGGACCCTCGTCTGTGAGTGAAATGTAAGGACGCGTCAGGCGGGAGCCCCGTCCCTCCCCTCCCTATGGGGCCCGCAGATCATGTTACTAATCCGAGCCGGTCATCAGATTCTTGTAACTGTCGTCACTTTTGGGTTCCTCAGGTTTGAATTTGGAGGAAGTATCAAGCGGGAGCGTCGTCTGTGAGTGAATTGTGAGGAAGTCTCAGGCGGGAGCCCCCTCCCTATGGCGCCCACAGATCATGTTACTAATCCGAGCGGGTGTCGGATTCCTGTAACTGTCGTCATTTTTGGGCTCCTCAGGTTTGAATTTGGAGGAAGTATCAGGCGGGAGCGTCGTCTGTGAGTGAATTGTAAGGAAGTCTCAGGCGGGAGCCCCCTCCCTATGGGGCCCGCAGATCATGTTATTAATCCGAGCGGGTCATCGGATTCTTGTAACTGTCGTCATTTTTGGGCTCCTCAGGTCTGAATTTGGAGGAAGTATCAAGCGGGAACTTCGTGTGTGAGTGAATTGTGAGGAAGTCTCAGGCGGGAGCCCCCCTCCCTATGGGGCCCGCAGATCATGTTATTGATCCAAGCGGGTCATCGGATTCTTGTAACTGTCGTCACTTTTGGGCTCCTCAGGTCTGAATTTGGAGGAAGTATCAGGCGGGAGCCTCGTTTGTCAGTGAATTGCGAGCAAGTCTCAGGCGGGAGCCCCCTCCCTATGGGGCCCGCAGATCATGTTATTAATCCGAGCGGGTCATCGGATTCCTGTAACTGTCGTCACTTTTGGGCTCCTCAGGTCTGAGTTTGGAAGAAGTATCAAGCGGGACCCTCGTCTGTGAGTGAATTGTGAGGACGCGTCAGGCGGGAGCCTTCCTATGGGTCCCGCAGCTCACGTGGTTCCTCCGGGTCATCCTCCGGCGCGCGCTTCCTCTGGGTCGTCCTCCGGCGCGTATCGGCTGGGACGCACGTCGTGCGCTTCCTCTGGGTCGTGTTCCGCACGAGGACGAGGAGGAGGAGGATTGCCAGGAAAAGGAGGAGGGATGATGCAGGACGAGACAGGAAAGCAGGAAGAGGAAGAGGCTGAGGGGAGGAAGGACGAGGAGGAAAAGGAGGAGGAGGAATGCCCGAGGAGGCCCCAGTAGGTCCCGGAAGGCCCAGAAGGCTCCAGGAGGCCCCAAGAGGCCCCAGGAGGCCCCAGGAGGGGGCAGGAGGCCTGAGGAGGAGGAGGAGGAGGAGGAGGAGGAGGAGGAGGAGGAGGAGGAGGAGGAGGAGGAGGAGGAGGAGGAGGAGGAGGAGGAGGAGGAGGGAGGAGGAGGAGGAGGAGGAGGAGGAGGAGGAGGAGGAGGAGGGAGGAGGATATGGGAGGAGGGGGGGGGAAGGAGGGGGGGAATATGGAACGAGGAGGAGATGAGGAAGGAGGAGGAGGAGGAGGAGGAAGCGGATGAGAGAGGGAGAGGAGAGGACAGGGATGAGGGGATGAGGAGGAGGAGGAGGAGGGAGGAGGGAGGAGGAGGAGGAGGAGGAGGAGAAGGGAGAGGGAGAGCAGGAGGAGGAGGCAGGAGGCAGGAGGGGCAGGGGGAATGGGGGGGAGGAAGCATAACGAGGGGGAGGGGGAGGAGGTGGAGGAGGCAAGAAGAGGAGGAAGAGGCAGGGGTTGAGGCAGGAGGAGGAGCAGACAGGAGGAGAACGAGTAGGCAAGAGAAGGTGGGAGAAGGGAAGGGGCAGGAGGATACCCCCATGCAAGCTAAAGAGATTATCATGTGGGGTCCTTCCGTCGGAGTAATTCCCCTAAACCCAGACATGCTCGCGCCGAAAAGAATCAGGACGGTCCACCATCAGAGTATGTCCACATCCACTGCCGCGGGCTGTGGCCTAGGATCTTAAGGAGTACTGGATGCGGATATCTGCGCGTCCGCGTGGGCGTGCAGATATCGTTACTTGCTGCGGCAGTGGATATGGACACGATCCCGCGGCAGTGGGTATGGACATTCTGGCGGCGCAGACGGGAGGTTTTTCCCTATTTTCGTCCCCCCGGGGCCCTCGCCGGGCCCCGGGAGCGTCACAGAACGACTCGGAATGAAGAGCCGGTCTTGGGGAAATGGTCGGGGCTTCCGGGGGCGCCGTGCGGAAAAGATCCGGACGCCGCACGTCTGGGAAGGCTTCTTAGAAGCAGCCCTGGTTCTTAGGAGGCGCGGGCCTTGTCTGTAGATGTAGGGCCAGCGACTTCTGAGAAGTGGCCTCCTTCTAAGAGGCCGTCCTCCCTCCCCCATGCCCCCTTGTGCGCGCCGCCAATCAGGGAACAGACAATGACGTTAAGCATAAAGACTCGGAGGTCCGCGCGGATTCCTCGGATCGGCGCCGGGGCCTCCTAGGGGGCGCCTCCGGCGCCGCCCCTGGCGCGCGGAGCGCGCCAGGGAGCTGGCTCCAGCGCCGATCCGAGGAATCCGCGCGGACCTCCGAGTTTGTGTGAGCGCGCCAGGGAGGGGGGTCCAGCGCCGATCCGAGGAATCCGCGCGGACCTCCGAGCTGTTATGTTCACGTCGTGGTCCGTCCCAGAGTCGGGCCGGACGATTGGGAAATGGGGGGGTTACGAAATCTGCTGCATGCAGCTGGTTTCGGCTTCACCGAGGAGCCCATTCCTCGATACTTAGCCGCCTCCGGCGCCGGGAGGCGCCGGGAAAATCAGCTACGTGAGCTGATTCTCAAACCCCCCTTTGCTATCCCCCCTTTTCGCCCGACCCGACAGAGGCTCAGGGGAGGGCGGCTCGAGGCAGCGGTCGTGGACCTTCGGGGGACCCCCTCGCGGGCCGCGGCGGGACACGGTGCGGGAGAAACTGGCGCGTCTGGACTTAGTTAAGTCGGGCATGTTCTTCTACAGGAGGCATATTCCAGAACAGTCAAAACATAGTCTGGGGATGATTATTCGTTTTTTGTTCTTAATTATTGTTGCGACTATGACTTGACAGTTTGTCCCAACCCTCCTTGGTTGGGCATTCGTCTTGAATAGAGCACCGCAGTCGCGTCTTCCTCCTCCTCCTCCCGCCTCCCGCCTCCTGCCTCCCGCCTCCCGCCCCCCCTGCTGCTTGTCTCCTCTCGCCGTCCCTGGGGGGCTACGATCTGCAAAACCGTCGCCACGTTCGAGGGCTGCTGGTGTTGTCCAGCGGAGTGGGGCGCCGCGCGGATCTGGGCGGTAGTTCGCCGTCCCTGGGGGTGCGATCTGCGAAGCTGTCGCCACTTTCGAGGGCTGCTGGTGGGTCCAGCGGAATGAGGCACCGCGCGGGTCTGAGCGGTAGCTCGCCGTCACTGCGGGCTGCGATCTGCGAAGCTGTCGCTACTTCCGAGGGCTGCTGGTGGGTTCAGCGGAATGAGGCACCGCGCGAATCTGAGCGGTAGTTCGCCGTCCCTGGGGGGCTGCGATCTGCGAAGCTGTCGCCACTTTCGAGGGCTGCTGGTGGGTTCAGCGAAATGAGGCACCGTACGGATCTGAGCGGTAGCTCGCCGTCCCTGGGGGGCTGCGATCTGCGAAGCTGTCGCCACTTTCGAGGGCTGCTGGTGGGTTCAGCGGAATGAGGCACCGTGCGGATCTGAGCGGTAGCTCGCCGTCCCTGGGGGGCTGCGATCTGCGAAGCTGTCGCCACTTTCGAGGGCTGCTGGGGGCTCGCCACGTTCG